CTTGTAATAGGCCCACCTGGTGCAGGAAAGACTACATATTGTGAAAAAATGGCCCATTTGCTAAATAAATTGGGAAGAAAAGTAAAAGTTGTTAATTTAGACCCTGCCAATGAAAGAATGGCTTATGAATGCCACATAGACATTAGAGAATTAATAATCCTTGAAGAAGTCATGGACAATCATAATCTTGGACCAAATGGGGCACTGTTATATTGCATGCAATATTTAGAACGAAACTTAGATTGGCTACTGGATAAAATAAAAGGTGAACATGGCACTAATTTTATTTTTGACTTACCTGGCCAAGTGGAACTCTACTGTTATCATGATACTATAAGCAGTATCTTTTCCAAGTTGTCAGAAAAAGGGAATTTACAATTATGTGTAGTTCATTTAGTGGATTCTCATCACTGCTCAGATGCAGGAAAATTTATATCAGCTTTAATGTTATCGCTTACTGCTATGTTAAAAATTGCATTGCCCCATGTAAATTTACTAACAAAAGTTGATTTATTAAAGAAGCATATGGATAAACTAGAATTTGGAATAGATTTCTACACTGATGTTTTGGATTTAAATTATCTTTTGGATAGCTTGGATGCCGATACTTTCACCACAAAATATAAAAAACTGAACAGTGCATTAGTATCAATTATAGAAGATTACAGTTTAGTATCATTCCAACTTGTCAACATGTATAAAGAAGAAAGCTTATTATCAGTTAAAAACTTGGTTGATAAAGCTAATGGATATGTATTTAAATCTGACGAAGGTAGGCATGTAAATAGTATGTTGGCATGTGCTATGGGTTTCAGTGATTCTGTCAATATTGAAAATTTACAATAAAGCATTCAAATGTCTATAGTTTTTTTTTTTTCCCACTATACTTGCATTTATTAAGATATCAATTAAATTTATTATAGTAACAGCCTAATGATATCACACTGCTGGGCAAAGGCCTCTTTTACAGAGGGTATCAGGTTATAGTCCACCACACGGCCCCACTGTGGATTGGCGAACTTTACATATCTTCGAAATATTTTTCTTGTTTCGAAAATATGCAGGTTTCATTAAGATGTTTTCCTTCACCGATGAACATGTGATAAAGTCGGCACATAAATTTAACAAATTCGTTGGTGCTGGCACCGCTAATAGAACTCAGTTGGCATGAGTATACAGCGAGTCTACAATCGCGACAATAAATGAACACACATATAGGAGATAACTTTTTAAAATTGTATTAAACATTTACATTCTTTAAACATTAATATTTACAGAGTTATTCAATTTTCCAAAACAAAGTATTCTAGTACACCCTTACGTATAAAACTGTAACGTAAAGTTCATTTATAAAGGTCACAAAGCATATGAATGGGTTGAATGAATTTAAGAGAAAACATACTGTTAGAAGGAGAGGCTTGTAATTGAAAAGTGTTACAAATTTTGTTTCTTTTTTACTTAGTTTGTTTGAAAAATATATTTTTTAATTTGATTTTGTTTAACGTTAATATTTTTTTTGATTATTGGTAAGTAGCGTTAGACGTGTGTTCACGTAACGACACACTGTATTTAATTAAAGGCGTACGCCCGGACACTGAGCTATCGCGGCTTTATTATAATTGGACAATTGGAATTTTATTATAATTGGACATAAATCCATTTTCGAAACTTGAAGTTATTCTGTGAGATGCGTGAAACAGATGTACGGTATTATTCACATTTCGCATTTAGTCCAGTACATGCATGTAACCAGTCTCACACAATGGTGTAACTTTCAATGGGCGTGTCGCCCAACATCCTATTCACTTGTCAACTTTTCACAAACAAAAAATAATACTACTTATTCTCTGCACTTTAATTTTGTTTAAAACAACACATCCATGTTTTATTTTTAAACAAATAAACAAAACTGGTGTAATTAACAATTTAATGTTATTTGAAGCTGACTCAAGTTGATCTATTCTGGTTTCAGATGTCGAAAGACACTCAAAGGACCTACGATGACCTTAAGAAAACAGAGTTAAAGATTGATCAAATGCTGAAAGACTGTGAGAAAGTCTGCCAATTGAGGTTACTTCACCAATATAATGATATTAAAGATGCTACACAAATTGTTATTAACCATATAGCAAATATTAAAGGGACTTCAGTAACTCAAATACATAAACAATTTAATCTTGAATAAAACAATTAACTGAATGATGGAACGTTTATTTGAAGACAAATACAACTCTTTTACAATTTTTAATTTCACCCAATATTTTTGTGTTCATGGACTAAAATAGTAATGAACAATTTTTTCTTAATTTCACAATGCAGGTTTATGTACTAAGTTATAAGTGTTTTCAAAAAAGCCACAGTTCCATGTTTGCTACTTCAATTACGAAAAATGTTATGTAGTACATGAGAAGTTATCTAATATATTTTATATTATTTTGACAATATGACTGTTGTCAGCAAACAAGTTTATAAAATGGATTAAAAGGTATTATACTGTTGGATAATCTAAAACTATATAGAATATGGTAATGTTTAAGACAAAAAATAAAACCTACATCCTTCTCGGAGTCACCACTAATGCTTAACATTTTTAAAATGTGTTAAAATCATATAATAATAAGCAGCACAAAATGCGGTATGACAACATAAAAGGCATTTCAATTTTATCTTTGATATACATAAATAGCTGCGGTCTAAGCCATGCCTTTTAGTCATCAACCGTCTTATAGTACTCCTCGTGAATTATTACCAAACCCTCTAAACATGCTTTAAATGTTGTTAAATATATTTCTTAAAAATCAAAATACATTGACGTTAAAACTCTAAAACGCTACATATCATGTTTATTATTAAGCAAGCAATAATATATAAATGTTTATATAAGTGATGTCGCATCACGACAGTTAGCTAAGTTAGCGAAAGGTGTCCCGCAAATCACGGTTTCGAGTCACTTGCAATATTCGACGGACTTCGTGGTACCAAGTGACTAAGTCAGACACATTACATTGTACAAGTTTGGCAATTACTTCTACAGCGCTGAGGCTGCTTTACACATATGCCTGTTAAGTTTTGATTGTTATTCAATTATCAAAATCTTAATGTGGCATTAAATATTTTATCAACAATAATGTTAATGTGGCAACATACTTTGTTATGTACTCCAGCCAGGGATTAAGCGATATCAAATTGTAAAGTCTTCATTGTTCCATTCTGTATTGATGCTGACGGCGGTTTGTTACTTCGTTTATATAGAACGTTTACGTAATTGAAATGGAATGTAACTGTATTATGTGTTGTTCAATTCAACAGCTTTACCGTCGATCAAGTATCAGAGAAAGATTTTGTCTCAAATATTTATGTTAGTCATTCCAGCTAAATTTAAGTATAACAATATAACAAATTTACAAAAATACATATAAAATGAAGAACATTCACAGTACGGGATTTCACAAAAATGCATATAAATATATCACTAACACATCTAAGATTTTCTATTGAAATAATACCCTATAGGATGTAGAAAAGCCGATATGTGAATGTTCATTCATTAAAGGTCTATCGTTAGACTTAAATCTATGTTTTTCAGACTCGTTTCAGGCAGTCCCACAGAATAATTTTCAAAAGCACCAACCAACTTTCAATAAATGCAATTTCTATACAAAATTTTCAGCCTTTCAACCGCTATGGTATAACACTCCAATTCAACCATATACCTACTAAAAAAGTTCAAAAATACAGCTTAGCCATAGGTATATGTGTCCTTGACAAACATTTTATTGCATTAAATACTACTACACAAAATTTATCACAATCATATCATATTAGGAGTAACTACTTAAAACATTATTGACAACAAAATACCTAGCTTGAGTCAGATCCCTTTGAAAGTCCTAAATTTTGTGTAGTATTGAGAACAACAACAGGCCAAATTCCAAGACAATTTCTCACCCATTCAATAAAGCTAAACACACATCAAGATTTCCTAAAAACAAGTCTGAATATGGTTGGTTTAGTCTACAAAATTGCTGTAAATTTTTCAGAATCCAGCAGAATGGTCAATTGCAATGTAAACAATTTTTGCATAGTATAGTCACATGTTTACTTATTTTAAAAATTTCATAGACCAAACCAAACTTAGAATAAACAATGATTTTGGTAAACTGTAAATATACTATGTGTAAATAAATAATGCTGACTCAGTACTTCATATGCTAAACTAAACATATTATTCACTAAGTCGTCTCACTTTTCAATTAAATGTGACTTAATAACAATCAACATGTTAATTTATTATATATATATTTTCTAATTATCACTTGTCAAGTTATGGTTGTTCAGGTTCTATCTTTCTAAAAGATAAAATGGTACTACCTCATGTGGTAGAAAAACGCCCTTTAATCACTTTTATTAGTTTACAGAAAGAAAACATTTTCACTTAAATTGCAGTGGAATAATAGTGATCAAAGAAACATGTCATATTAGGTATTGGGGCAAAATAATGCCAATCATCTTCAATGTTATATTTAATTGAACACTTGATGTGACAATTCAATTAATAAATCAGTCTCAAGGTCGGGAAGTCTTTTTAGATGTTTAGGCACGTATAGCTTTTCGGTTTACAGATAACAACAAAATCCATAAATTAGGTTGCTTCTCTGTTTACAAATTTAATTATTATGCAACTTCAGAAATATATATACGTGCTAATATAATCTAACGTCGATCTCTTGTTGTATATTATTCATATAGTTTTGCGATATAACGCTCGTAAATTGCCATTAAAAGCTTGTGGATGTTAAAAAATTTCTTGGTTGTGTCATTTAAAATGTCTTTTAAATGTTTATAATATCACTTCTAGCATTATTACAACAAAGGTAAATGCTTTCCTTTTTAACAAAATAAAAGCAAATAATAGCTGTTTATAATAGAAATTAAATTTTAAAGTAGAGAATAAAAACATAACAACAAGATAAAGTTACCTTTGGGTTATAGTATATTTAGTTAGATTCAGGGGCATCGCCTTGACCAATGTGCTCCTTTTCAGAATTATGGCAAAGCTCCACCACCTAAAATGCATTTCATTTATTACTTAGAGAAATTTAATGGTTTGTACGGAAGCACTGTGTATAATTTTTAGAATCCATGAATAATATAATAAACATAAAACTTTACTAAATACTAAAACGTAAGAAGCATAATTATTTAAAAAGAAAAAAGTTAAATCCAGCTTTGTCTGTAGTTGCATATTATTCTGCAGTCACCTTGTTCTTGTCAAGAGGCCCATTTACCTCCATAGGTTGAATTACATCAGTCTTTGGATTAGGGCCCTTCTTTTTCCCTTTTCCAATGTTTTTCTTAATATTTTTACCAGATTTAGTTTTCTGAGCTTGAGATCCTGTGAAATCAATATATTAATTTAAGTTTACAGAAAAGTTAGTGTGTTATTGTTACAATGTAATAGAAAATAACCTTCAGCTTCATTTTCCGGAATAATACTGTCCTCGTGTGGACAGCCATCATCCCCCTGTATTCCTATGTCCTCTGGTCGCACTGTTTTTCTGTAACAATATTTTTCACTAGTTAACCTTCTAGTTTGTGAAATTTTCATACAGTACCATGATCACTCATTGAATAGTAATAATGTGTATGTAAGTATTTATCAACGAAAACTATCTTTTTTTTTTTTCGAAGCATAAAAATAACTTTCAATCCACTTCACAATCTTTCATTAAAAAAATAGTCAATGATGGCATAATCATGCATTCTTTATATAAAAATGATTTATCATACTTGTCTATTATTCACCAATAGCTGCAAACATCAGCTTTAAAATGATGTTTAAGTCCACGATTCAGGACTCTTTTGGAGTTGAAGTTTCATAATTGGAATGGAAATAATATATAGGAGATTGCAGTATGTTTTAATTATATATCTCGAAATTATAGATTATCACATAAATAATCAATATTGTCAAATGAGAAAAACATCAAAACTTTAAAGAATAAAGAAAAGCAATAATATGTTAAAGTGCTTGTAGTAAGTACAGATAGCATAAGAAACTTATCTACTTTAATAGGAAAACCCCCACATGGACCTATGTGTTGGTTGAGAAATTGTGATTCAAAAGTGTTAACCAGAGGTGCCCTTAGCGATCGATTAGATCAGGGGTGAGCAACCTTTTTAATCAATGGGCCAATTTAAATTTAAAATTTTTTTTTGGCGGGCCGCACATTATAATTTACGAAATTTTATTTATAATGGCGGTGATTTTCACTTACCATCAGGTGAAATGCCAAATCGCTTGCCACCTTCTGGCACCAAAAAAATTATGATTATTGAACTACAACCGATTTTTCCCTTCTTATCTCAACAGGTTTAATTATCTCTCTTCATCTCATAATAGGGTACTTCGTTCTACTTATAACAATAAACTTTGCATCCCAACACACTTCACCAGGATCTGTGGAAATTCCTTCACTATCAACGCTACACATCTCTGGAACTTCTTACCCGATAACGTAAGAAATGCAACAAATAAGGCCTCTTTCAAAAGACTGATTCGTGAACATCTGTTAAAGACTACCATTAATTAGATCCGTGCCATTATTATATATAGAATTACGTTTTCCTTCTTTCTATGTATACAATTATATATACATACTTTTTTCCGTACTTTTAGTATAATCAAAAATGATATTTTTTCTTAGTTATAATTATGTATCATGATTTATTTTCTTTTAGAATATTATTAATTTGTGTAATTTTTATATCCCTTGCCGCGCCTATCATAAACTTTCATTACATCCTGGGTTGACTGGTAGAAAATGCCTTTGGACATTAAGTCCGCCCTTTGTTACCTTTTTTTCTTAAGGTTAGAAATAAAGCCTAAGAAACAAAAAAATAAAAAACTGTTACCCATTAACGGTGAGCGTAGCGGGCTTCGCGGGCTCATCATTCTCGCGGCGGGGTCGGCGCGCGCCCCGCTGGCCTCCTCGTGCGGTCCCCCCCCTCGTACCACGACCACGCCCCCTGCCGCCCCGCCACCCGCGCCCGCCGTACGCGTTACGGGGCGGCGGCGTGTACCCCACGTAGCCCACCGGCTACATACATTCCATATAATTGCTTTAAATTACGATCAAATATTGATGCTAACAATGAGTTTATTATACAGCGTGTCGTTACCATCGCGACAATAAATGAACACACGTCTAACGCTACTTGCCAATAATCATAAAAAAATATTAACGTTAAACAAAATCCATAATAAAAAAAATATTTTTCAAACTAATTAAGTAAAAAAGAAACAAAATTTGTAACATCCTATACAACTCGCGACACAGCGTCGTTTTACAAGCCTCTCCTTCTAACAGTATGTTTTGTCTCTTTTAAATTCATTCAACCCATTCATATGCTTTGTGACCTTTACAAATGAACTTTACGATATGCTTTTTTAGGTAAGGCTGTTCTAATTTTTTTTTTTGGAAAATTTAATAACTGTAAATATTGATGCTTAAAAAATTTAAATGTTTAATACAACCTTAAAAAGTTATTCCCTAAATGTGTGTTCATTTATTGTCGCGATGGTAACGACACGCTGTATATTATCAGAATAGAGTGAAAGATGTGATAGTTCTGAAACATGTCGAATGTTTAGACTGTACTACTGAAGTTTTAATAGCGTTAGAGCCACGCAGCCATCTACGTTTCATTACATTAGTTACGATAATCGGATACCCTCTCCTGAAACAATGTCTATACCCTGGCAAATAAATATTTCAATGAACTCTAAAAAGAGGCTGCCATACTATGGTAATATCACTTACCACAAGGTGTGTGTGTGTGTGTGTGTGTGTGTGTGTGTGTGAAGAGTGAATCTTTCGCCTCCTTTCCAATAAGTGAAAAAAAAACGTGTTATCTGTATACTCGTATGTACGTACGTAAGTAGTAGTTATACTTCTTTAGCCTAACACAAGAAAATGACATTAAATGCAATTGATACTGGTTTAATTCAATTTCTTGGGGTTATAGGGTAAATGTGAAACGGCAAGTGTATCGAAAAAGTAATGGTTACCATCGTAACACCATGATGTTGGTGTCGCTTATAGATGTCGGTACCGTAGAAATTCAATCTCTACGTTTTACCCAAACGCGCCAAATGAAATACAACTTGAAATACAAAAAAAACACCTGCGGATAGCGGTGCGTGCGGGTCGGGTAGCTGCCGCCGCCCCACTGGCCGACTACCACGCCGGCGATCTCGAGGCGGGCGCCGGCGCCGCGGCCCCTCCCGCGCGCCCAGCCGCCCAGCTGACCGCCCAGCGCGCCGCTCACCACGCCCGCCACCAGCGGCAGCGGCGGCATAGCGAACTCCACCTCCAGTCCCTCGAGTATCGCTTTACGCATTCTCTCCACCTGTTTTGTTTTTTAATTTTTTTTTATGCCGAAGAAGTTGGGCAGTAAGTCCCAGTGAACACCCAGCGACCTAAAAAGATTCCGTTATAGTCTTCATATCTGTGCTTCACACAAATAGTTGTCCCTCGTCTGGGAATCAATCTCAAGACCCCCAGCGCCGAAGCCCTGTGTACTAATACCTTGGCAACTGTGCCATGGAGTCATAAAAAAAAAAAATTAAATGTTTGCGGATTTTAGGGCAAAGTTTAAATAAATATATTAACAGATAGGCATATTTTATAAGAGTGAAGAAGTATAATTATCGCCGTATCGTGATTACTCATCGAATGGTAATTATAATAATGTGTAAATAAGTATTGATCATTTTAAGGTAGGTATATACATTAAACTTGATGAAGAAAGTAATTTTCGCTTAACTGCCGTAATAGACTGATAGAAGTGATGATGCAGCCGTTATGGCATTCTGAAAAAAAAACACCCTTGAGAGGAGTTTCACAGAGTTTTTAGGTAATCCTTACCAATATAATGTACAAATTACTTGAGGAACAACCATTGTACTTGAGGAACAACAATACCTAGTGTATTAATTTATTTTTGAGTGGTAAAATACGGTTGAGCGTCAAATGAACTGGTGTTTTATATGCTTACTAGCTTTTCGCTCGCGTTGAAGCCCTTTAATAAATATCTTTCAACCCTTTACAACACTTTTTTCCAATTAAAAAATAGCCTTTTCGGATTAAAAAATGTCCTGACTATCTGTGTACCAAATTCATTTAAATCGGTTCAGTAGTTATGGAGTGAAAGCGAGACAGAGTGACAGACGGACAGAGTTATTTTCGCATTTATAATATACATAATATACTAATATCATGAAGTGTACTACTCGCGTATAACTTTTACCTCAGCTAATGACGTGTCTCTCAAGTAGCTAAAATAAAAAATAAAATAGACTAGCAGATAATGAAACTAGTTGAAATATCTATTTTGTACACCATTGTGATTACCGTACACGAGTAAATATCGCGTTCCAATCCTCGAACGAAGCTTTAACGACTCAGTAATGTATAATGAACGTGATTTGTTTCTTCTAAACCAGAATCAAAACGCCATAAGAATTTACTTTATTCCATTGGGGAATATTTCAAACCGCTTTTGACCCCGTCGTGGTTCCCTCAATTACATCTGTGATTTACCCAAGAACAACTAAAAGTTTGTGATTTTATTTGTTACATAATTCATAACATTGTAAACAAAACCTCTCAATGTTTAGCGACACTTCCGGTGCTAATAGCCCTTGTTGTCGGCAGTTCTCACATACCGTCACGCTGTTACAGTATTTTTAAAGTAAAAAAAAACAACAATTGTTTTTTTTTAATTTTTTTGAACAGCTTTTCAGGTTCATCACCTTGACAACGGTGTCGAGGTGGTCGTCGCAGAGCTGCGCTAGGTGCTTGCAGTGTGCGGCTCGGTGCAGGTTGCGCTGCAGCAGCTTCCCGTCGAAGTACAACCAGGGCGCGGCCACCAGCCACGGCACGGGCGCACCGCACGCGTCGTTCGCTAGCAGCGCCGCCTCCGCGCCGGCCATCACCAGCGCCCCCAGCTGCACGCCTCGCGAGCTGATGCCATTCACCTGGAACAGCCAGGTACAATAACAGTTAAATATTGGTTCGCCTTCAGACGCCTCTGGTGTGTAAAACATTCAGCTTTATTTGGATTTGTTTATAACAGAATTGCTAGCAATATGCAAATTAGATCTATGCATATAAGTTATATTTTGTTTATCGATGCCTATGCGCATTTTTTAATAAACGTACCGTCATTTCCTGCAAATGTAGAGCGTTCATGAGATCATTTGAGAAAGCTGTCGCCAAAAATGCGTCCAATTCTTGACGCCGAAGTATTTGAATCTGTGATGTCATAATGAACCTACAAAATTATGTACACATTAAACTGAAATTATGTATCAACAGAAAAATTATATATATATATATATATGTTTGATTGAATATATAGAGATTTTACCTTAAGACAGTTGCCAAAATCAACAAATGCTGAGGTACATAGGATGTGTTCAACATCAGCGGAGTGTCAGATCGCATACACGAAAGAAAAGCGCGCATGCGACGACACTTATCGTCTTGAGCAGTTCTGCTGACAAAGAGACCACAACTTTACCATCTACTGATTAGAATTTGGGTGACAAAAGTTAGGATACTTTAATAATATTATCTTGTATTTATAAAAAAAAGGAAATTATACAGCGTGTCTTTACCACCGCGACAATAAATGAACACACGTCTAACGCTACTTGCCAATAATCATAAAAAAAATATTTTTCAAACAAACTAATTAAGTTAAAAAGAAACAATATTTGTAACATCCTATACAACTACATCTGACTGATTCATACATTCAGAGACTTTTCATTCGTTGCCACAGCGCCGTATTACAAGCCTCTTCTTCTAACAGTATGTTTCGTCTCTTTTAAATTCATTCAACCCATTCATATGCTTTGTGACCTTTACAAATGAACTTTACATTAAATTTTTATATGTAAGGGTGTTCTACAACTTTTTGTTTTGGAAAATTTGATAAATATTGATTCGTAATATCGTTAAATATTGATATTTAAATAATGTAAATCTTTACTACAATTTAAAAAAGTTTATCCTCTATATGTGTGTTCATTTTTTGTCGCGATGGCAAAGACACGCTGTATATAAATGCTCAACTGCTGAGCAAATGCCTCCTCTGTACAGAGGGTATAGTCCACCACGCCCCCCCATCCCAACTTTGGGAAACAATTTCTTTGGTGCAGATCAGGGATAGACCTCGGTTGCTCAATTATATTGAAATAAAAAAAATGAGAACTCATACAATGAGGTATCAGGGTCCTTTTATTAATGCAAATTTAAGTTACTTTAATATATAGAATATGTTTTATAATATTAAAGTTTCCTGAATGGGAGCACATTAGATAACGCCAAGCATGGCTGAAAATGCAAAAAAACAAAGTGAATTATATGTCGAGATTGACGCGCGGTGAGTTTGTGTGTGTGTTTGGGTGTCGACCACTTAGTTTAGTGACCATAGCAGGTTCGAAATCTGGCAGTGGCGAAAAGTTTTGCGCCCATTTCATCTACATATCTTAAGTTCCATGTTAAGAAAAATACTTTATTCTTAATAAAATTTTTAACTGTTCCTTTTCCTAATGCTCTTATAATGACAACAATATACACAAAATAAACAAGCTCACCCGAACCAGAGCCTTTGTACTGTTGGGACTGGCCAGTCAAGGACAATTCCGGACACAATTTCAGGACTTTTCCCTGGATTTACACGAGAGTAGATCCATTCTGCAACTTGTACTTGACAAGGCTTATCATTGCATAAAGATGAACTAGCTGTTCCTTCCTCTGAATAAAAAAAAAAAAAATATTCACAAATAATGCTTCTCAAAAATGAGCCCTTCTTAAGAATTAATTGTCAAATTTCAGTAGGCCATTTTTATATTCACAAATAAAAAACAAATAATACCTTTAGCTTTCTGTGCCATGAAACGGTGATGGTGCATGTTGTAAAGAATAGCATAGACATTTTGCCTAATGGGCCTGAAGAAATGGTGGATCGAGGGTATTTCGCGGTGATTGTCGTCCTCCATTAGAACTGGCAACGTAATCTGGCGATGAGTTAGGATTGAAAGCATTTGTGGATGCATTAAGCCACGCGCGTGCCTTTCGGCGCAGGTCCGCAAGACTTCTGCCGGTGCTGGGGGACAGTTGTCCTCATAATGACCCAGTTTGGTCAAACTCTGCACTCCCTGAAATATAATTTAAAGGAATTGGAAACCATGTTTTAATTAACAACTCTCTCACTATCCTCGTTTATACCCTGAAGTCATGTGTACTACAAAACTCCTGAACAAAAAGTAAAAAAAAAAAAACAATTTTTCTTCAATAAATAAAAGAAACATTTCTGACAGTTTTACCAGTACTGGATAAAATTTTTGATACTTGAAATCAACTGAATTGATCTAATAGAAAATTTAAAAGAAATCTGTTATTGAATTAAGAATAGTTGTAGTAACTTTTAGTTGAAGTTTATATGTTTATTTTATATGTTTTATAATATATGGCTGTATTAAATAACTTTTAGTTTATAAAGCAAATTACACATTAAAAAATTTGTAAGGTGCAAGCAATTAAAGCAGCAACAGGAATTTAGGAAATATAGGTGAGAAAATCACACCTCCTTGGATGTAGCATGGTCTTTTTCATTTCTTTCACCAACTTTAGATGCCTGCTGTTGTTTATGATTGACCCCATCACCTGCTTCAAGTGTCATCGATGCAATAGCTTGGGTCATATCATTGGTGCTGTTTTCCATACTAAAGTCAGCATTGATTGAAGCATTCGCAGTTGCCAGTTTGTAGTCGTCCAAGCCTTTTTGCTGTAATTTATGGAGTTCTAATGTTTCAACCAATCAAGTGCTTGTATAAATAAAATAAAAAAAAAGCAAAAAAAAATATGTTAATGTCACTGGTTATTAAATAATTAAGGAAATTAGAACAATGTAGTGCTTTAGTTTCATTTACAATACATTTAATGCAAAATCTTTATAATTGCCATTGCAAAAGTTATGATTTATAATATTAAAAACATTATGTATTACAATAGATTAAATAATATTTAATTACAAAAACCAAAGATAAAAAAATATTTAAAAAATATAAATGCACTCGGCTAAAACAAAAATTTATAAAATTTTTCTATGGTTCATGCATGTATCTATGCTTTTCCAATGAATGCCAATATGTATATGATCTAAAAGGCGTGGATGACTATAGCAATGACTTTGCCCTAATGTTAAGGATAAAAACCTCATGTTCTGATGATTCTGTTGCCAGCTTAGATGTATCCATATCACCAGAAGTTGATGGAGGACTCACATCCGGCTTCTGATTTTTCTTATTTGCCTTGGGGCGACGTCCTATAAATTTATATATATTATAATTTATATAACATTATAAAGAGAAATAAACATTAACACAATACATTTTTTATCTCCACTCACCAGATGCAGTTCGATACTTTAAAAAACCATCTTTGGTTCCATTAAGATAATACTGAACAGCTTGTTTCAATTTTGCAGCACGAAGGTCATTAAGATCACCAAATATTTCAATGCAAGCAGTGTCTACATCAGATGAAGGCAAATCTCTAACAAATTGGCAAATGGTTTTAATAAGAGTTTCTGGTGGAACCTGTTGCTGTAACCAAATTATTCAAATTATAAGTGGAATAAAATATTTATTTTCAAAGTAGAACTTTTAACATGTCTAAAATACATTCAGTAATAATAATGATGTATTTTTACCTTCTTTTGAGAGATTCCTAAGCGCTTATAGAAGTCTTGGAGACTTTGCTCAGATAAAATAATACCGCCAAGTAATGCTGCCATGAGGCACAATCTATCCTGAGGAACATCCAAGACTCTGGGTAGCTCATGGTACCATGTATTCTTTCGTTTCCAATGAAGACTAAAAAAATGAGGACAAGTTAATAATAAAATAACTTTTGTTTAAAAAATTACATAATGTCATATAATGTTACATACCCTATATGTGAGTTTTAATTGTGATGAACTGAAGTATCTTGGTGGTTGAAAAACTAAATACTCTCCAGAACATCCTACTAGGCCCGCATAGGTTTTCTCCCTACATAAACCAACAACCTCTTGACAATGATCATCGGAAGATACCATCTGAAGTATTGAAAAATATATAAATATAAAAATAGACTTTGCAGGTGAAGCTAAATTTAAAACAAAATTTTCAATATAATAATTTGAAATCACTCTTTACTTACAATGGGAATGTTAAGGTATCTTAGAGCAGTCCTAAGGCAGGAATGCAGCCCAGTTGGTGGTACCCACCATACTTTAGGCGGCGGAGTTCCTTTTGTAACTATGTGACGCAATACCTAAGTTGAATAATAGAGATCATTAAGACGCAATAACAACCTTATAATAAAATGTAAATAGAAACTAAAAATTTTCATTTCACATTTCCGTTTATGATATATATTAAAAAAAATATTGTTTTTATATTATCCTTAATTGGGCTATTAGCATATTACAAAAAACATTGAAAATTGTATACTTAAGTTATAAATAACAGTGAAGCCTATTTAAGATAATTAGACTACATACAGATTTGATCAAAATAATTATTGAGGTACTTACAGAATTAACTCTTTGTCTGTATGTAGCTTGAGTTTGGATCCACTGTTGCGGGACTGCTGGTGGAGTAGGGTGAGAACCATTAAAGCAGACACAAAGTGCAACTTGATGTTCTGCTAGTGCCTGTGCTAATGTTGTCAAAAATTGAACACATCTTGCCCACTGTCCACCGCAAGCCCAATCTAAGAATATGGAATAATTGTTAATGTAAAATGTTTAGCTATTAAATGTAAAACTTTGGGCAGTTTAAATAAAGGTGCTACCTGAAAAATATCCTCCGTATAGGCGGTCCAAACATCCTTCTGCGTCAAGTACTAATCGAAAACCGCCCGCATGATTCCTGGCGATTCTAAATAAATCAACACCTACTCCTTCATTTTCTAAATAAGTTTGTAGATCTTGTATGCCCATGATTATCGGCTACTCAAAAATACTAATAATTCGATCGAACACGTTCGTCTCGACTAATTGGTCTGCAATATATACGTTATATACATAAGTATAAAAATCTATAATATATAGCCGCAAAATTTCGGATATTTGTAGAACATAAAAATAATGTTATGAACAGAATTTTCAAAGCAAAAAAAAAACAGAAAAAAAATAGACTACATAACCGGCACGTTTCTAAGGAATAATATAAGGATACAAGGAAGAATACAATAATTTTGATGGAATAAACTAAAATACACGGCCATCAATCTATACATTAAAATGATAACTCTGGAATATTACAAACCTTGACTCAAAAAACCATGCCAAGAGTGAATTACTACGGCAGCCGAAACTTGGAAACGGAAGCCATTTGTAATTTAGTAATTTTCTGAGTCTGGCTGGCCTTTCCTTGCTTTTTCAGAACGATACAGATAACATGCACTCATACAGATAACTAATTGCGAAGACCGAAGTTCATCAACACATTTTTAAGGGAGGTTTCATAATAGCTAGTACAACGACAACACGATCATCTGCACTGACATACGCTGACCGTCGATCACCGTGATCCCTGTTAAGGATGATCAATTCAACTATCAGGAGATCCATCATAAATAATTTAGATTAATGAAACTTAAACCATTAACGAAATTAATCAATCTAAGAACATAACTAACAGCATCAATTAGACGCAGACTGTTTTATATAAATAACAATGAACTAAATAACGTAAATCGGAGCCGTGATAGCTCAGTGTCCGGGCGCTCGCTTTTAATTCAATATACTCGAGCAACCTGAGTTCGATCCCCGGTGCCGCTCGATTGGTAATCTCAGATTATACATACTCTTTTGATGTCAACTCTGACCTGTTTAATTTATGTATTGTTTTAATTACTTTAAATTTGGAATGTTAGTTTTATTTGTTCTGACTGAATTGTGTCATATTTGATTGATTCCGTTAAAATCGTTAAGAGAAGTAACATGTATAGTTATCTGACATAACTCTTGTATTTTATATAAATTCCATAATGATTACGTTCCATCAAAAATAAGTTCAAAATGTTAAAGTTGAAATAAATAGTTTTCTTATCAGTCCCTAAATGTCTTTTTGGTTTGAAAAAGTGATCCCATTAGTCACATCTACCATTTAAGACCGGCACCAATGAAATTGTTAATTTTAAGTGCCGAATTATCACGTGCTCAGCGGTGAAAGAAAACATCGCGAAGAAACATGCATATTTTCGAAATCATAACAAAAAAAAAATATTTCGAAGATGTGAAGTCCGCCAATCTGAGTGGGGCCGCGTGGTGGACTATGTCCCAGTAGTGGGACATGTATAGGCTGATACTTTACTTTTATTTTTAAATAACTTAAGCAATTCAAAAAACGGCCTGGCCCATATCGTGTGTGAATTGAACCAGGTCTAAGTATAGTTTGCTGTCTGTAACAGCAAACTATACTTACACAAATAAAACACATTCTTCTATAAATCCTCGATCTACGTAAAGATCTTATTCAAAAGGGTGATATGCATTTATTATTCCCACACGGATGGGTCTCTTGAATGGTAGATGTGGCTATGGGATCACTTTCAAGCCAAAAAGACGCTTAAGGACGGTTAAGAAAACTATTTATTTCAATTTTAACATTTTGGACTTATTTTTAACGAAACCTAATCATTATGAAATTTATATAAAATACCAGAGTTATGTCAGATAACTGTACATGTTACTTCTTCAAGTTATTTTTACGGAATCAATCAAATATGACACAATTCAGTCTGAAGAAATAAAACTAACATTCCAAATTTAAAGTAATTCAATATAATACATAAATCAAACAGGTCAGAGTTGATATCAAAAGAGTATGTATAATCTGAGAATACCAATCAACAGGGTCTACCTTTCTTGTCTTTCGCTTCCACTTTGCTCTATCCCTCGCATCGACATGGGTACAATTGCAGGCGTTAAGGTCTTAACTCAGTATCTCTGTCCATGTTATTTTTGGTCTTACTCGTCTCCGGAATGTATTCAGAAGGTCGACGTTGCACATGTCCATACCATCGCAGCCTACTTTCCTGGAGCTTGTCGGTGATATCACGTACTCCAAGACTTCCTTGCACGTACTCGTTGCGTATCTTGTCGGGTTTCGTCATTCCGCACATCCACCGTAGCATCTTAATTCCGTACTTGTATCGACCTGATTCCGTGTCACGACCCACGTTTCGTTTGTTTCGTTTCCATACGTAAGAACTGGCCTGATCATGGTCTGTTGATAAACATACTATTGTTTTAAACTATATGTATAATATATATTATATACATATATAAGTATATTATAAACATTTTTGTATCACCATGTGAAAATAGCAAATATACTTGTATTTAAAACAATATATTCTATGAATAAATATTAAATATTTGATTTTGACACATGTCGTTCCCGCGATCATACTGCATCAATTCGTACGTTTATTCATGCTTAACATTACTCTTGCCTGGGCGTTGAAAACCAAAAAGTGTTAAATAATGTGCATTTATTTAAATTTTATATTTTATTGTCGCATATAACTAGTTCAAGAACAACATAACAGCCTACAATAAAGATAACGCTACAAAAATCAAATAAAATGCAATAAAAACTGCTATTACATTGCTGTCTTTCAATCTTGTTGATTGATTTTCTGAAAACGTTTTGTAAAGAATAGTAATGCCGGAGCAAAGCAATGATTATCGTGTGGTAGTGTTTGGTGCAGGTGGTGTGGGAAAAAGCTCGCTGGTGCTTCGTTTCGTTAAAGGCACATTCAGAGAGTCTTATATTCCTACTATCGAAGACACTTATAGACAAGTATAAATCTTTTCTTTCCTCCTTAAATTTTATACTTAAGTTTTTAGGAACATTAATAACATAAGTTAATGGTTTTAAACTATCTGATTTCCATAAATAATTAATGTCATGTATGGTAAGAGTTAAGTTTTGTTTTTAATCATTCTATTCCCATTAATATATTTTTTTAGAGAATTGTCATCTTTTTATTTCATTTTTCATTATTATAAGCAGTACTTGATTTTTTTTTAATAATAATTCTTAACTTTGGCTATTTTCCAATATATAATTAACATCTAACTATTATATATTTGTGTTTAATAAACTGACAGTATTAGTATTCATATAATGAATTTTTAATTAATAGTTTAAGTAATAAAGTTAATGGAATTATACAGCCTTTGATTAATGATTTGCTGATGATCATTAGTTTATATGCATATTTATCTATTCTTTGAAATAAAAGCTGGAATGTTCTGAAATTGAAAATCTAAAACCATTTGTAAATATTTATATATATACAATATTTTATTATCTATGAATATCTTAATAAAATACTGTTTTCTCTTAAATATTGTTTTCATTGTTTTACAGGTTATAAGCAGCAATAAAACTATCTGTACCCTTCAAATAACAGATACAACCGGATCTCATCAGTTTCCTGCTATGCAAAGGCTGTCAATTAGCAAGGTTAATTATTATCAATGTCATAAAACTTAAAAATAATTTAGATAAATTGGTATAAAAATATGTACTCAATTTTAAATAATTCTTTTATGTATCTTACCACACATATAGTTATTAAACATGTGTAAGTATTTATTTTTGTATTTATTCACTGAAGATAATCAAGAAATAAATGTTTCAGGGCCATGCATTTATATTAGTATATTCAGTGAGCAGTCGACAGTCATTGGAGGAATTAAAGCCAATATGGCAGACAATAAAAGAAATCAAGGGCACTGAGTTGCCAAACATACCAGTGATGTTAGCTGGAAACAAGTGTGATGAAAGCCCAGAGATAAGAGAGGTCTCTGCAGCAGAAGGACAAGCACAGGCCCAAACTTGGGGTGTCTCCTTTATGGAAACTTCGGCGAAAACAAACCATAATGTAACACAGCTGTTCCAAGTAAGTATAAAATAGTCTTATTTTATTTTATATTTGCCTTACTGTTTCTAATGTTCTTTTAAATACACGCTCACAAAAAAAACCACAGTAGTTAAACAATAGTGCATTAAAAATAAATGCAGCATAAAAATATTACTTTTTTCCTAATTTCACATTATGAAAATATGATTCAAATCTAATTTATAATTAATTTTCAGGAACTCTTAAACATGGAAAAAAACAGAAATGTATCACTGCAAGTTGATGGCAAAGGAAAAAAGAAGAAAGACAAGATTGTTAAAGATGGCGGGGAAGCATCTGCTAGTGGTAGAGAAAAATGTTGTGTTATGTAATATGGTAGGTGATCATTTGGTTTTTTGTTGAAGAACCCACCAATTTTATGTAGTTGTCAAGTAATAAGCGATATTTGTACTAATATTTGTTTCAGTCTGTTCCTTATTACTTGTGTGGCTATAGGATTATGTTTGCTCTAGTTTTGATTCTAGTCATTAACTTTTTCCTTAATAAGTACCTCACAGGTTTAAAATAATGCATTTTAATAAGTAGATATAGTATTAATATGCCTTGAACAAAAATTTTATTATAGGGGGACTTTGACGGACACTTCATCAAAATGTATATTTTGCTAACTTTAATATTGTTTTTATTTACACTAGTTATTGAATATTGACTGAAAAATCATTATATGGGTATGAAGAATTCCATAAGTGTAATAATACAACGAAGAGTTTTTAGGACTTGCTGTTATTCAATTGTATGTATTTAAATGTATGTATGTATTTACATTAAATGTTTGGTTAAGATTTATGTACCTGAAAATATGCTACTTTCCAAAATGGCGCTTTAATTTTCCATGTTTTGAAAGTTAAATATACTGTGCAGTAATATTTTATTCACATGCCTAATCATGAGACGATTTTACAAAGAAATGATATAATTTGATATGATGTTTCATGGTGGAGGATTTTCCCTGAATTTAAGATGATATGATAGTTATTAAAAATAGCAACTAGTGCTGAAATTTATAGTAGGCAGCATGCATTTTCATTGCTTTAACTATAAATTTTCCCTCTGCTGTGGGTAGTGTCATTGTGAGACATTTTTAAAGGTATGTGCCAAACTAGAAAACATAAAATAGCAGTAGACACTATAGAAACTGCACAATAACTTTCTGTATCGAAAAAGTTTAGAATATTAACATATGTATTATTTAATGCACAGTATCTCCTATAATGTATTGGAACAATATTCAAATTATTGCATATAATTCAAATATCCAGAGTTCTGTATTTTGTTTCATGAAATCTATTTTTAATATTTCGCATTTTATACAATTATTTAAACCTGTAAAACTAATTGCATTCTTTAGTGTCAGTAAAATTATTGGTAGAGCGAAAATAAGTATTTGCCCAAGATAGTGTCCCTGTTTACCCTTTGAGTACAGAAGCCTAAAAAGTTTTTTTGCATCCAAGACATACTATTAACACTAACAACACCTCACGTCGGAAACGTCGATTTAATTTTACCCTGAAATTTTATATTTTTCTAGACCACACTTGATGTTCTGTGAAAAATACAACCTGACACATGAACTGAATACAATTACACAACAATTTATTTATGCATTTAGCTCGAATTTTAGTTTTTATTAATTCATTCATTGGTTACCTTTAAATATATTAATTAAAAATTCATACATTTATTGCTTCCTTGTAAATTTTTTGTCCGTTTGTTATATTTACCTGAAAAAAAAATTGCTTAGTGTAAGAGAATAATTATGTCGACCTCTCGGGGACCCTTGGGCACGTGTGCCCTTATAGCAAAGAGGTTACTGATGCTGAGGGTTTAACCGACATATTTTTGAAATCTACCAATCCGGAGAGCCTCAGCAATAGAACATATATAGGCTGTTTTTTCGAAAATATGTAAGTTTCCTGATGACGCTTCTGACGACGCTTCCATTCACGCTGAGCACGTGATAAGTCAGCACTTAATTTTAATTAACAGTTTCACTGGGGCCAGCACCGGAATTTGAACTCTGGTTGCTCGAGTATGTTGAATTAAAAAAAGGCACCCGAAAACGAGACCAACATTAATATCCCCTGTTATCTGCAAAATATGAAAATTTGACATACACGAAAAACAAATAGTTTTAAACCCTTTTAATTTCAATAAAATCCGTTGAGTCGTTTCAAAGAGTCACATCAAGGTAAACTATCACATGGATACAAACGTTTCTAAAAAAACTTTTTTAGAAACGTTTGTATAAAAGATGCCTTAAGTCAACTGACTTAAGGCATCTTTTATGTGTAAATGATAGTCAAACACTTAAATTTGATTAGCGGTTTATATAGATTTAATCTTTTTTAAAAATTCCAACGATTTAAAATTATTTAAATTCAAAGTAAACTCATCGAAAAAAAATCTTTAAACTTATATTCGGTTGAAGTTCCTGCCTTAAATATTGATCGCGCGAACCAACTCAATTGTCGACAAGAACTTTTTTAAGGTGATTTCCGGTAAATATATATATAATTCAGTGCCTCGCCATCTCACAATGACATTATCGGATTGTTTAGGGCTTAGCTTGGGTACTATATAAACTAAATGAATTTCGTTTTTTAAAAATAAGCTAGGCATTATATTAAAGAGTAGCTATCGCTAGTTAATATGCACTTTATTTAATATCATTCACTTACATATCCAGTTAGTATTGTCCATAGTTTAACATTTTATCTAGTTTGTTGGTAACCATCATCACTATATATGCAACATATTAGTGAGGTTATATTGGATAAGTATGTAGGAATGGTTATGTGCCAGAGAAATATGCTTACAAAATAATAGTATTAAAGTTATGACAGGTTACTTTTTTTTATTTAAATTTAAAGATATTTAGTTGCCTTTCTTCTATACCCTTTTGCTTATTGGCAGTGTTTGTGACCATTTAGGGTGTAAAAGGGCGAATTAATTGTTATACACTGAATTGTTATAACTGGACCAATGTTGTTTGATGTTGATCGATGTAATGTTACCATAGGCTCATTTACTTTAATGTGTAATATGTGTTGTTTTACACGAAGTTTTCGATTTTGTGTAAAAAATAATACGTAACAAGCAATTGGCCAATCACTTTGTTGTTGAGTAAAATCATCGAATGTTGTATTACTTACTTATTGCTTAATAGTGTGACAGATATCAAATGTAGCCACCAGGTTAAATATAATTTAAATTTAACTGTTCTTTTTGTAACATGTTTGAGTGAGCACAGTGAACATACAATTTATTACGTTCCAGAACTGTTTGGATCTTATATTAATTGTTAATATTTTTTCCTTTTGAGTATTTTAATAATTATTGTAAATAGGTCCATGACGTTATACGAATTTGTCGAATGTTACGGAAGAGATTTGTTACACACCGACTAAGAGGTGCCTTAGGCTACCAAATAAAACACCAACATTTATTACATACAGTGTTAATTTAATCTGCCATGTGCGTACCTAATGTAAATGTTGGTGATAAAACATTAATTGCGATTTTTACAAAGTTTAATGTTTTCCAACCTTATTTCTTTTAATAATAAAAGTAATCCATACGCATGTGCGTTTGACTTGGTTTTTTCAATTAAGCAGTTTCAGGAAAATATGATATGGACCAAGTGATAAATGAATATTAGTAAAGTTACATTTAATATTTGTAGGAGAAATATTGAATAAGTGTATTATAACTAAGCTAAATGGAGTAAAATCTACTGAGACAAAATAAATGACAATAAATTACTTCTAGTAGCAACAACGTGGCGTCAGGCGTAATTAGACATAGTGCTAAACCATCGTTAATCACTCATTGTCTTGATGATTCATTTATAAATTATCAACATAAAAGACTATTTCAAAAATATAATGTTGATTTACTCTCAATAGTAATAATTTGAGTACAAATTATTATACATTTTTCAAGCCGCTGTACTAATATCGGTTTACGCATGCATAATAATTATGTCACAATAAACGATGTCAAGATAAACGAAACCTTTGAAAACCAGATTAAGTCAAAAAATAAAAATAATTGACACCATATTTTATGTATATATACATGATACGGTCAAAATCTTCACTATAACGTAAAAATATACAACCCTTTTGCCCAGCAGCGACACATGTACAGCGTGTCGTTACCATCGCAACAATATATGAACGCACATATAGGGGATAACTTTTTAAAGTTGTATTAAACATTTAAATTCTTTAAACATCAATATTTACAGAGTTATTAAGTTTTCCAAAACAAAGAATTTTAGAACACCGTTACCTATAAAAGCGTAACGTAAAGTTCCTTTGTAAAGGTCACAAAGCATATGAATGGGTTGAATGAATTTAAAAGAGACAAAACATACTGTTAGAAGGAGAGGCTTGTAATGCGACGCTGTGGCGCGAGTTGTATAGGGGATGTTACAAATTTTGTTTCTTTTTTACTTAATTAGTTTGTTTGAAAAATATTTTTTTTTTAATTATGGATTTTGTTTAAGGTTAATATTTTTTTATGATTATTAGCATGTAGCGTTAGACGTGTGTTCATTTATTGTCGCGATGGTAACGACACGCTGTATAGGCTGTTACTTTACTTATCAGGCTATTTGAATTTAACTCATTTATAGACTAAACTGGCGCAAATGTAGTTTATCCAAAATGAGATATACTTCTGTCTGCTCGTACTTGAAATGTTAATTGTTATGTAACAGATAAACATTATCAACTAGCTGTATATTTTGAATGAATAAGAATTCGATAGGCTTCATGGTTTTCGATAATAAAAGACTATGTTATTATAAAGCCTGTGTTATAGTCAATTTGGTCCATAACATATATTGCCGTGAATAGTGTTTTGAGTTGTATCAACAATATACTATGTATGCTCCACTTCCTCATTCTTAGTATAATGTTAAAGCTAATTATTACTCTTTCATACCATTTCTCGCTACAGCAATTATAAAAATGATTTTGGGCTTGTTTTGGGCGTGCGAATTAGCAATTTTCATCGCTTTTTATATTTTTTGCAAGGTTACATTAATTGAATTGGGCTACCTTAAATGTTAGACAAAGCCATAGTTAACATTATAATAGATTTCTTGGTTGTGGTGTTACAAAAAACCTTATAAAAGCTTCAAATATAAAAAGGGAAAGTAAATAATTGATCATTTGCACTAGATGTTTTTCCAATGTTTAATGTAAATTCTTGTTTAATGAGAGTTCTCTGAGGGGGTTGAGCAATATTTTTATAGGCTTTTATAAAGCAGAAATAAAAGATTTGATTTAACCATCGAATG